CCTAACCACCTAGCCATGCCGGGCACCAAAGAATTGAGTATCTACATGTTACAGTCAGGTAATGTTCATCCATTAATTATTGGCCGGTAATTAATTCCTGTTTCACCCTGTACTTAAGCTTTTTAAAGGAAAAACCGAATGTTTGTAAGAAATCTAACTTCAATGGGTAATGATTACATCGTTTATACTAGAATTACGATGTTTTTTTTGAACTTATGTAAAATGTAAAAGAAATCGACTTTTCAATACTCCTGTGACCTACGCGGTACCTTATTTAGTATTTTACAGAAGGTTTGGGTGCAATATACCAAGCCGTTTTTGTTGAAGGCTGGCAACAGAATAATAATTTTCATTCTAAAAATACTTAGAAGAATTACAAGCGGACCGTTTTGAGTGGATTTTTCTTTTCCTTGTAAGTGCAACAAGTGTGTTTTTTTTTATAGGTATACAACCTTAGCAGTCAGTAGTAAAGGTTTTAAAGTGTTGTTTGAACTCAAGCTTTACTGTTTAAGGTGCTTTTTTTTGTCATTACGTTCTATTAGGGTTTTGTGCAATTTATTACGATCCCTATTATGAACCACTATCGTGGTTCATAATAAATACTCATACTGGCTAAACATAATGCATAATTACAAAGAATAAACACTAGATATACAGCGCCATATGTTTGGAAACGTCTAACAAAAAACTATTCGCAAAAAGTTTATTTGTAAATGCTAAAGCTATGCAATAGATTATCTACACTATGATCGTTTGTTGGTATCGAACCCTGAATTTTAGCTTTATGAGCTCTCGAGCGGACCCCTGAGTCATCCAAGGACTTTAGAAAAACATAATAAACATGATTCGCTGTTCTATATCAGTGATTAATTATTAAATATTGTTTTAAACATGTTCATAGTTGTAGTATTTGATCTTCAAAGAATACATCTTCATAAATAAAAAAGTCGCATACAATGATAAGTTGTGGTTATGCTTCATTACATGGTTCAACATAATCTGGATTAGCTATGTCTCAGTCCTCTCACAGACAATTCGTGACAGCACTATATTTTCTCGCATACGTCTAAGATATTAAAGATTCTAAATCGGGTGTGACCCAATGATTAGAGTATCCGGACTGTGAATCTGAGGTTCCATGGTTCGCGACACGTTTAAACAAAGACACCTTCCGCACTTTAGGGCCTTGGGTGCGTTATACAAATGCGTGACGGTTGAATAACACTGTTTAATCAGACAAGAATAGTCCAAGCAGTGGCGGTGGGTGCTGTTGACTAGCTGCTTTCCCTGTAGTCTATCAGTTCAAAATTAGAGACAGTTTTGCTCATACAGCCTGCTGTCTGCTAATACGGAATGCGTATCGGTGCATATACCTGCTGTATCACTATATATCTGTTCTCTATCAGTACATGTCTACTCTTCATTAGTACTTCTCGTCAGTATTAATACATGTCTGGAGAAGAGATAATATTCTAATATAGAAGATGTACCAATACAGGAGAGACTTATACTAATACGGATGTGTAACGTTGTAGAAGAGACTCACTAGTATACTAGTATAAAGGAGACGAGTAGTGATATGATAGAACAGAAGGAGCATATGTCAATACCGAGGAGACATATTGATATACTAATATAGAGGGTACGTGTACTAATGTACCAATCAAGAAGACACATATGCTGTTATAGCAAACATGTACTAACGTACTAACACAGAAGAGGCAGATACTGATGTACCGATACAGAACAGACATGTACTAATATAAAAAAAGTGATATAGGAGACATGTGCTCTCATATATTCTTGCAAAACAGCGGGTAGAAGCATTGATACAGAGAAGATGAGCTGTATACAGAAGAAGCGCATACTGATGTATCGATACAAAAGATACATGCACTGATTCACAGAAGACGAAATGATACATAGGAAGCATGTACTAAAGCAGAGGGAGACGTACTAACACAGAAGAAACACGTACCAATACATAACTGAATCTACTACAATTTATAATTAAAAGTACAAATATAGAGAAATAATATAGTAAACTTTGTTTTCATATAAACTAATCTTATTATCAAAATATGATTTTTAATTGTTGATAAACTTACATTTGTAAGGCAGACATCGGGCCTAATTACACACAGGTGCGAGAAATTGAATCTGCAAATAAACGATAAGAAAAAGTCATATAAGAAAACAAAATCCTGAACAATGTAATACATGGCTTAGATGACAAATTTTAACCTCGTGGTCTATAGTAAAATTTTTAAATAATTATATAATAAAGTCTTTAAATCACAAATATATTTCTTTTTTTTTGTTAAATATTTTGTCGAGAAATGTTTAGGATAAACGATTTTCCAAAACAAAAAACATGTCATAATCAAACAATTTAAATCGTCCATACTTCCTTGTTTTTCAACTGTCAGATATAATAGACTGTTGAGTGTAGGTATTATCTATAGAGTTAAAACAATTATTTTAATGACGATAGTTATGACAAGTTTGGTTACGTAACTCGGTAAGAATCTTACGCTGTGTTTATAATTCATTGATGTCGAAGCTATCGAACATCGCGTGCAATCCATTGATGTAGAGGATATAGAGATTTCTAAAAGGGTGATAGACGTATAAATATCGGAAAGCAGACGAGAGTAGAAGAGAGTAAAGTAAAGTCACGGGAAGGAAGAGTTCTGATTAAACTTAAAGTTAATCGTCGTGGGAATGAAAGGCCTAACGGTTGATATGTTAGAGTGAGATTAACAAGTTCGTAAGAGATAAGGGGAATAAGTTGTCTCGTCAAAGGGTGTTCTAAAGTAATTCAACCGGCCCGAGTGGACTTTGACAAAAAGCAGACGATTCTTGGAAACACGAAAAAGGAACAGACAATTTTTCAAGTACAGGATACAACCATGATAACTCAACGGCAACGTAAGTGAAATGTACACGGATAGTCTGGCGATAGAAATAGAGAAATATAGTTCGGCTTCTCAACTGAATTCTAAAGCATTTGAATAGACTAAAGTGGACTTTTGACAAGAAGAGAACTATATAGTGTTTAAGATATAAATATGACCAACATAGTGTAAAGAATTTTGTACATACGTTTAACTTGTTCCGAATATATACATATATATTATTTTGAAAACAAGTGGAGTGCGTGCTGTTCGTTTATTTTTTGAATTTATCGCCAATATATCATAGACACCTACTGTAGAAGAATCATTAGGCCAACACTCCCATAAACTTACATTACTTTAATATATACTACACTAAAAAGTAAGTTCCTTACATCAACAACAAAAATGTTTTTACTTTGTTTAAAACATATGGAAATTATATTTAAGCTTGTAATGAATAAAGGATTTTTATGTAATGTAAATTTTTGGTAATAACATGTCAATAAACGTACATCTCGAAGTTACATATGTTTATCAAAAGGAGTTATAAGTGAGAAAAAGTACAATGTATTAGTTTCCGCTGACCCTTACCCCACCTCAAGGGCCATTGTTTCCTTATATCGTCTTCCAAACATTAATCATTTCTACCATTCAAACTACCATTATTTAGTATCAACAGATACTTGTAATACTATCAAACATAAAGAGCAGGAGAGACAAACAATGTTTTGCATTGTTTTGAGGGTTATTTGAAACGTGTGAGTGTGTGTGTGGGAAGTTTTTTTTGTTTGTGATCTAATTTAATTAATTTACTGGAAAGATAGTTTCAACTCTAGGAAACTACAACTAAGTGATTCAGAGAAAAAATTCTGAGCTTCAACTAAAGCGATACCTCACAGGGAGGCATGGTAATAATAACTTATTGTTGTGTGTACAAGATTGTCCCTAGATGACTGTATAACATTTGTGTCATACTTAAGGTTTATGTTGTATCACAGCAACACTACAACAATATTACATGACTGTTGAAATACTTTATGTTGTATCACAGAAACATTACAAGAATATTACATGACTGTTGAAATACTTTATGTTGTATCACAGCAACATTACAAGAATATTACATGACTGTTGAAATACTTTATGTTGTATCACAGAAACACTACAAGAATATTACATGACTGTCTCCACTAGGGTACAAACTTATATTTACTTCTAAGAAATAATGATTTGGAAAAAGAACTTTAAATTTGTTCAACAGTGTGG